ATGCCCTTGTCACTAGTAGCTTCTTGTTCCTAGTAGTAAGGCCAGGAGCCTCTAGTGGCGTCCTTGCTCCTATTAGCGATGCCCTTGTTACTAGTAGCTTCTTGTTCCTAGTATATAGTATTAGGAGCCCCTAGTAGCGTCCTTGCTCCTAGTAGCGATGCCCTTGTCACTAGTAGCTTCTTATTTTGGCCAGGGGGGCCCTAGTAGCGTCCTTGCTCCTAGTAGCGAGGCCCTTGTTACTAGTAGCTTCTTGTTCCTAGTAGTAAGGCCAGGAGCCCTAGTAGCATCCTTGTTCCTGGTAGCGATGCCCTTGTTACTAGTAGCTTCTTGTTCCTAGTATTAAGGCCAGGAGCTACTAGTAGCGTCCTTGCTCCTAGTAGCGATGCCCTTTGCTCCTAGTAGCCTCTTGTTACTAGTATATTTTTGCAGTTTGTGTACTTTTGTGATCTCTGTTTTACTACCGGAGAGGAAGTGATAACTGGATGGATCCCTTCCAACCCCTTGAGGTCCACACATCTTCCCAGTTGGAGCCACCTGCATGCGTCCAAAATGTCCCCACAAAACTTTGGAATTTCCCTTCTTTTGCAGAGGGCAAATATCCATAAGCATCCTTGTCTCTCTTGGCAAACTCATGCCTGTGTCAGAAACCTCCTGTTGTGCTTCTCATTCGGAACCCATTTTGTCCAGAGGAACCGTTTCTACTAGTATGGAGCAGATCATTTTAGCTGGCTCCCTGCTGCCCTTCAGAGGCAAAGATGGACCGTCAGCCCGTTGGGCAACTGGACCGTCACAATTGATTCTAAGATGATCGCAAATTGTACCAACTTGTCAGAATCGTCCACACGTGCTAAAAATGAGGAAGAGTCGCAGCGCAGGCCCTTGCAAATGCCCTACCCATCTACCACTTGCAACCTACAGGGTGTCCTTCCATTTGTTGGAGTCCGATCCATAGCAGAGGTCTGGCCCCTGAAAACCGTTGTGTGTTAAGGAAGACACCGAACGGCGCCGAAAGTCGAATGTGCGCACGCAAAAAGGGAGGAGGGAGATGAATGGAACAAAAAAACAGACTGACCCTACTTGTATGGTATTGTATGGTCTAAGGTCATGAATGGTCTAAGGTTGCGAGCTTTGAACAACAATTTAGTAGATTTATGATTGCTTGTTGTTCAACATAGTAAATAGTAGCATACCCATCAATGTTTATCAATGTTTGCTATCGGGGATTTTAATTTAGTAGATGATTTTTCAAGACGTTCTGAGGCGTTGCCCTGCCGAAAATGACTCGAGCATTTTGGAGGAGACACGGCTGCTGGGATGATGTTTCTACTTGTTCCTCTCTCTCTCTCTAAGGTAACAAGAAGCTACTAGGGGGGAGGTCATCGCTAAGCAGGTTGGAGGCCATTACTACTAGGAACAAGAAGCTACTATTAACTCTTTGTTTCCTCTCTCTCTCTCTCTCTCTGAATTGTCAATCCTGTGACCCCATTGCGCCTACCATCAACACAGGCCTCACTCGCGCACGGTCGCAAACTCAACTCACCCAAGCTCAAGATCCACGGATTTAACGTACTCTGGCCAAACCACTTCGGTGTTTCTGTATTTGCCTGTGCGTCCAGAGTTTGTACCATTTTCTTCGTGAAGGACCCCAACTGCTTGTCTATGTTTCCTGTGGACAGGCACCGGCACAACCATCCAAGGGGCTAATCACAGAATTACAAGTCGGTTGAGGTTCCATTTGAGTCACGGTCACCTGTCCACAGGAAAAAATGGTACCTTTGGCAAAGGAAATCTCAACCTTCCACGCAACGCTACTCACTACATGAAATACCACCAACATCACCGAACAATTATTGAAGCAAGTGAAGCCGGCCGTGGTGCTTAGATTGAATTGGGTCTCAATATATACCAGGCCCGAATAGCATCAAGTAGCATCAACTAGCTATGGTTGCTTAAGCGCTTTCCCGTGAATCCATCCACCCATTCAAGTTCGACCACCCTCAAAACCCTTAAGCAAATTGTGTCCGGCCAAGTGGCTGCACTTGGGGGAAGCGATTGGCCAACTTCAAGGCTTCTTGGTGGATCTGCATCGAAAGCTCTCGCCTGGAGGACCAACAGTGAAGACAAAGGAAAAGAAGCAAACATCATCAGAGACAGGGATGCGGATTCGCTAACAAGGGCATCGCTACTAGTAGCAAGGGCATTACTACTCGTAACAAGGGCATTGCGGATTGCTTCTAACAGACATTAATCACACCTGCACATACTACAGGAGGCAGATTCTTCGTTGCTTCTCAGGACCTTCAGATGCCCTGTACAAAAATCCCTCTTGGGTAGGGTTAAGATGGATTATATAAGCACTAAGGCCACCTCCTACAAGTATGGTGATGTTAAGAGCATGCGGCTGAGACATCCGACATGCCTAGTCCCTAGAGACCTTCCTCGAGATATCCAATCCTCTGTGGATTCCAAGCCTTGCGTTCTGCCCAGATCCGGTGCAAACTGTATCACAAGTGAAAGCTACACTGTTTAAGCAAAGGCACACGGGGCTCAAGACCAAAAGCTCAATCCCAGGGCTGCCGGCTTGATGAATGCCTTGGCGCACCACAGCAAACTGACAACCAACGTGGTCCATGTGGCCGCGATGGCCATGGCTCCCGTACCATGATTCACCGGAAGGCCCCTCAGCGAAAACGAATCCCACACCACTGCGGGCCGTACCCATCCACCCAGCACGGCATCAGGAATCACCAAATAAAACATAAAGGGCCATGGGAACATATGGGAACTGGAACCCAATGCTGTAAATATATGTGTAAAGACAGTCTGTGGCATCTGTGGCTCTGGGGTTGCCTTCGGTATTCAACCAGAGACAGCGAGAGCCACCACAAAACACAACATGCTTAACAATCCTCCAAGAGGTCTCAACTTGAAAAGGTGTCTCTTCATCAGTGACACTACCGTGTCAGCCGAGAGACGATCCATGGTGGGCAACAGGAAGCTCAAGGTCTTTCCTCCACCGGTCTCCGCTCTAACGACCAGGTCCTGGTGGCAAAGGAATCCATCCACAGTTGCTCCGGATGAGACATTACTAGTAGCTTCTTGTTACTAGTAGTAATTAGTAATGCCCTTGTTACTAGTAGCGACGGCCTCCAACCTAAGTGCTCTGCCATCATTTCTAGGCTCTTGGTTCTTGGTCTTCCGCAGCTTTCCGAGATTTTAACTGCAATGTGATGTGGGCTCAAATATTGGCACTCCTTGAATTGTATCTGTCAATACCGCGACAAAAATAGAACTCATACCAATAAAGCTTTCAGATGCCTCAAAATGGAATAGCCGGACGTTCACATCGGAAAAGAGGTCGAACCTTCCCAAATAGATGAAGTTGTTGTCTTCCCAACCGTCCCAAGTGTCCATGGTTGTCCGCCAGAAGGTAGCTCTGTATGAGGCTATATATAGGCCAGTATTTTTAGCCATGGTGGCAGCTGGTAGATTCCAATTACTTTCCACTACAACTGTAGTGGTTACCAAAGGTCAGTATCAGATGAGTCCCCCTAAAAACTGCACTGGAGATCCCACACTCCGACTCTGGTGGTTTGTTTCTCTCTCTCTCTCTCTACCTCTCTCTACACACACACACACTACTGCCAGAAACCCGCATCCGCTGGATGTTCTGAGCACTCCTGCCCATCGCAGATGGGCTCAAAGGTCTCTTGCTGCACTTCCTTTCGGTGGCACCAGTTACCCAAGTAGCACACCGAATATCCGAGAAGACGTTGCTTGGGATCCACCCAATCTTTTGAAGACACAATATGTGGACAGTCATGAAAGTATATTAGTATGTATATAACTGTATTTCCTGTGTATAAATATATATATATGTGTATAAATGTGTATATATATACACACATCATGTAGCCGTTTGATTTGCTGCATCTCTGTTTCAGCACTCAGCACCAATTGGTCCAAGACTCTGTCAAAGTCTCAAAGCCCAAGTCCGCAACGGCAGCCTAGCTTGGCTGCGGCTGTTGCAACACTGTTGCAACATGGGAACCACTCCCCAAAGGATCCACAGGGACTCTGCAAGGACAAATTCCAATTACATATGTACATTAAGGTCGCTGTCGAGTCTGAAAAGGGTGGTGTCCACTTGTTCAAAGTGTTGGAGATAGACTCTGTCAGTGATGGAGTCGGCGCTTCTATTTCCAAAAACATCAAAAAACTAAGGAACCCTTTAGGACACACAAGATAACCCAAACTATCCATTCGGCTTTCGCACTTTACTATGTGATCAATCTGCTAATGCCCAAGTGGCTGACAAGGCAAAACGCAAAAAGACCAGTTTAGGGCAGTCCAAACCTCCTTGTACTGAATCCATCACCGCCAGAGCCCCTTTGATGCTGTTGGATGTTACACTGCACCGTTTCGACATGCAAAGCCCCTGCCTTCGCCTCCTTTGAAAGTGGCAACTCCTGAAAGGTCTAATCAGGTCAAGACGAGGTATGGCCACTGCCTGCCATGTATGTGGTTCAAGTTCAAGACCAACACCTGAATCTTCAACCGGCGTTGAGTTGATTCATTGTTGACTGGACCGAAACTCCCCCATGCTGGAAGGGAACCTTAAAGTCTCAATGCCCACCACGGGTCAACATTGTTCAACGAGAATCAGTGGGTTGATTTACCCAACGCACCACGTCATCTCCCATGTCCGCCGCCTTCGTTCCAAGGCCACGTGGAATCAAGGGTCGCCTAGGCGGAAGGTGAGTAGATCCACGCTAGAAGAGACAAGCGCTACAAATACTTCCTGGTTGCCCACTGGGGATTTGTATATTTAACTTGGAATTGATTTCTGCCGGGTACTGTACTACTCCTGGTATTTCCGGTCTAGGCGAAATACATCGAAATACTGTCGTGGTTTGAAACCCCAGGAGCTTTCCTTTGGCTACGTTAGCTTGACTGCCCATCATAGCTATTATCGTGGCAATCCGTTCAATTCCGAAAAAGAATCTTGAGAGGCTGTAGATCCCTCCACTTGATAAGGTTCCGTGATTTTCAAGGTGGCATCTATTTGGACATCTCTCAAGTCTCGGTTGCTCATACTGGCCCTGAGCCTGCGGCCTCAGATTCCACCGATCTGAAACAACCGAAAGAGATCCCTTTCTTTTGCTTCTTGTTACTAGTAGCGTTCTTGCTCCTAGTAGTAAGGCCAGGAGCCCCTAGTAGCGTCCTTGCTCCTAGTAGCGATGCCAGGAGCCCTAGTAGCTTCTTGCTAGTAGTCTATAATTCCCAGAATCTAAAAAATGCTTAACCCGACACCACATCCCTTTGACCAAGCCACAATGGCCAAAGATGACCACAAAACGGAGGGACGCCTGAGGCTGTGCCATCTCTTGGGTCAGACTTATCGGTATTTTCCCACGAAGACTCGTCAAAGGGGAAGGTTGATCCATGTGAGCATGTTCGAAAGAGGGTGCCATAGCGTGGTTTGAGAAGCCACCGGTTCAGCCGTCCACAATTAGGAGTCCCAGGTGGCTCTTGTGAGCACAAGTCAGCGCACTTTTGTGACCACACAAGCAACCTCTAGTTGAAGGGAGATGGTCGAAGGCGCACAGGACGCCACGATTCCCAAACCGTCACTCAACTCATTTGACCAAACATGCATGTGTGTGTGTGTCAAAATCCTGGAGAATGTTCGACTGCCCCCCCTACCCCACAAAGTGTCCTCAGCAAGCTCCTTTTCGTTCCCAAAGTCATCTTGAAAGCACTGTCGTCTAGCATGATCATCTTCTGCACCATGCAATGCTGAGGGTCACGACCCCACTTCAGTAACCCTCTTCCCGAAGCTTAAACAAGTTCATGGTGCATCAAGTTGCGCTCAGCAAAGGCCTTCATTCTGGAGATAACGGTCTCCTTCCCGGTCATCTTTGGGTAGGTCGAGGTCATGCCCATCCGATTCCACATTTTTTCTAACTCTTTGTGCGTGTGTCGGAGGGCCAAAGAGGCAGCATCTGATTTTAGCATAGACTTCATCTGGGCCTGGGAATAGCTCAGGACATACTTGACACACAAAAAGAATATCTGAATGCTCTACATGCAATAGCAAATGCCACAACCTTAAGCAAAGCCATGTGTCTGCTTGTCCTTTCGACACCGTCGTACGACATCCTCGCTTGGCAGGGCGCTCTGAGATATGCGCCGTGGCAGACTTGCGTTTGTCGCCGAGAGTGGCACGTTCAATGCGGTTCACCAAAGTTGCTTTGGATGTTCGGGGGCCCGGTCTGGTGCCAGTGAGATCTTCCACCATTTTCATCAACTCGTGGTTGGTTTGATGATAGAGATCGCTGGGCAAGGTTCCCCCATGTTGCTCCTTGATACGTTCCAGAGCCATCTCATGCTGGCGGTTTGGCCTTGGCGTCAAGGACAGGAAATTAGTGAGGTCTGGCAGACGGTCTGGCAGAACCTCCCAATCCATCCTGGTATCCCGGTTCTCCGCCGGGAGAGTATGTGAGAGCCCTTTTGAGCGAGCAGAAAAGTGCTTGAGCAAGTAGGCGGATACACCAATGTCTGAGCACCTAACCTACAAGCGCAAATACATTCTTCCAAGAAGAGTCTCCAGTCTCCGTTTTGACAACCCCCAAGTCAGAGCCAGTTTGAGACTAGTGTTCCGTTGTTGACAGGGTTTGGGAAGAACCCTATTCCCGACCCATCCTTGAGTAGACCGTCCTATTACTGTAGTAGACATTTTCTTTTGGGATGTTAACCAGGGCACTCAATCAATCCCCAGATCAGAGGACTTCTACTCATCCCATCGTCCCCTCATATCTTCCACCTATGCACAGAACGAAACCTACTGTCCGGCCTGCTCGCAACAGCAAGGCTGCGGCAGCGGCCCAATGGTGGCGCATGTTGGCAGGGCTGTGTTGGCAGTCAACTGTACTCAGCGGGTGTTCAGCTGTTTTGGATTTGATGAGCTCTATATAAACGTCTCGGCCGACACGATTCCATTGCTCTGCTGCTTCGCGAAATTTAAGAAACCCAAACCTAATAGCAATTGCCTCCAACCTAGGAAACCCAAACATGCATAGGGTACCTAGAGTTTCACATGCTCTTCGGTCGTGCGATGCTGTCCGTTAGCATGGTAATTGATGGTACAAGACCAAACCCTTGAGGCCTAACATCCCTGGACTGAGTGAGAGAGCAAACAAACTTGCAAAAATAAAGAGTGCGTGTTCATGTCTTTCTTCTCTGTTCCCTGGATTTGTTCAAGGCTACCTTCCTTCCTTCCTGAATATCCCTTCTCTCATTTGGGCTATATAAAGGCTTCAAGACAGACCTTTGAGGTGCCATCATGCGAGGTGCTCTGGTCGAAACTGCCATCATGAGGTCATGTGGAGTCAAGCCAGCGGAGAGAACTCTGCACCACCTAGCAGCTACCACATGTCAAAGCTTCCTGGGTGGGGAGACGATGGACCATTTCGCAGCAAAGGAAGTAGCCGCAGGCAAAAATGGGTCGCACTTCGATTGGTCACCTATCATGCAAGGGGTCCCGCTGCAATAAGTACAAAGAGTTTCTCGTTTGTTTGCAATGGGGTCAGAACAATCGGTCAAACCAAAATATGATGACCGGTCAAAACAAGAACACCTGGAGGAGCCAATTCACAAGTCTTGGCTGTCCAAGCTGATTGGTGATCTCATAGTTGGTGCGGCTGACCACCACATTGCCCACACGGAACCTGCACCAAGGCAGACAAAGGCCAGTGATATTTCCTCTGCAGGGTGTACCAATAAGACACTTTGAGTTGAGCCCAAGTGCTTCAGAATCCCATTACAGCATAGTTCATTTGGACCCCCTTGTTGGTCCAACTGGCACAGCCGAGCTTGGACATGGGCATCGTCAGGTTGCGTCAAACCTGAAGAAAGTGTCCGGCAAGATGCTGATCCTTGAGGTGTTTGTGAGAATGGAAGTTTGACTGGCAGCCGGGCACCTTTGAGCTTGGAGGGAGTACAGCTATGCAGCTATGCAGTAATGCTCTTGCATCATACAGAACGACTCTCACAGAGCAGGCCATGAATTACGTGACTGTGCGACGCAAGCATAGGCTCTTGGACATCAAGTGCTCGGCAAAGTCTTTTGGTGAACACATGCCAGTTCTTGGCGAATCACCAAACTCACACTACCCCTGAGACAACTAACACAACCCCTGTTCTCTGGCCTTCTCAAGGCCAGCTGAGAGAATGAACCCTTCAACCAGACTTCGTAGTAATGGACCTTTCATTGGTTGAAATCACTGTTCACAATGTGCAAAGCAGCCGTCATCTTCAAGATGTTGAAGTCCTTTATAGAAAGTTCCCTCTTGGCCCCATTTCGAGCTCACCGCCACACCTTCCCGATGGTAAACCCACCAAAGCCCAGCCTTCGTTTCTACTGAACTTGTCACAACATTTGAAACCACCTGCGTTGAAAATTTGTCCTCCTCTGCTCCACAGCCGCTCTTGGTCCCTTGGAGCTCCCAAAAGGCAGTTCCCATCGTATTCAAGCCTGTTGGCAAACTGGCCACAAAGCTCCAGACGTGTGTAGCGACGTCTCCTGCAAACTGGAACTGTGCCTTCAGAGCTCTCAACAAGGATTTGCTATGCCACACAGAAATTTGTTATATATGGTTGGCGGAAAAGCTTGGTGAAGTGGAGGGTGGCTGTCCCGCAATTGGGGCGGCAAATCGGGTCCGCATTTCAGATGTGTGTGTGTGTGTGGCGCGCTATGCAAACGTTTGGTGGAAAGAGGCTGGAGGCTGATAAACCCACTGAAACGTGCTTGTTGCAAGCAACATGAGTTGTTCAGCAATGCAAAATTCTGTCATGCGGTTCTACAGCCCTCTGATTTAAAGCAAAGAACTTTTGGATAATTCTATCCGTTTCAATCGTTTGGGGCTGGTCCCATACCATTTCGCAACAAGAAGCAAATCGGGGAGCTGGAACACTATCCCCGTGCACTTGAGAGTCACTATGTCGCTATGTTGAACTGGAGACCTGGGCACCCCAGCGGCGGACGAATAACCAATTTCCAGACCTTGGTCGGACAATCTCATGCCAAGGGTACTCGTTATTGAGAGAGATTGAATAATCTTTCCATGCCCCACCCACCGTGAAGAGATGACTCTGATAATGTTGCCCCGTGGCCCAGGCATCTGAAGTGCAGCCATGTTCCTACAAATTGTCGTTTTGGTGGCATATCTCGATTCCAACCAACCGCGAATAATTTTTTGAAAATAACGTATGCAAGACTCCAATGATTGAGCCCCACATCCCAAATCCAAAGGCTGCCCATTTCGCCATATAGCCATCAAAACCATCGTCCAACTGAGTTTCGAGCTGCAAAGACATATTCGTGCACACTCAATGCTTCCTCGGGGTGTTTAAGATCAAAGGCAGATGCTGCATTGGTGCTGTAGGACCATTTTCGCAGCAGGTTTTTTAAGGAACCAATAGTTCTGGGGTACAGAAGATGTTTGTCTGCACGGGATATTCTTTTGAATGCTTGGGCCAGCTGCTGAATATTGTCCACCAAGTGGCCATGCCCATGGCTGATCAATCAGAATGAAAGGCCAAACAGGGCCTTTTGGTTGATGGAGCGGGGGGGAAGTCCAAAGAAATTTGGATCTACTCATGCAATATATCTACGATGCAAAATTGCATGTATTCCAAGTGTCTGCAAAGTTTTGTTTTTCGTTGGTTGGGACTGTCTACGATGATGTCGTGGCTTGGCTCAAATGCAATACTTGCAACGCAAAATGCATGGTTGTGGCAAGAAAGTTATTGTTGCCCAGCAAACGCTTGAGACGGGAATAGCTGAAAGGCACATGGGCATAGACTTCAATGCAAAAATGATCTGACCAAACATACTCTCCATTGTCGACGAACAATGAAAGAAGGTGGCGCAGCACAACACATTGAAATGGTTATCTCACGCTGACTCCAAGATCTGCAACATTGAGAAGGCGCAATGGGGCAAGGCCCCTCGCCTATCAGGATACTCTAGGGCGTACCGACATGAATATTTGTGAGTGGGCCCGCTAAACTCCATAGTGAGGTGAAAGTAGACTGCAAAGTTACCAACCAAGACCGAGTGTAGGAAGGGCTATGATGCCACCACTCCACAACACAAGGCTAGGCACTACTTTCCGTCAAACGTGGATTTGTGATTTGAGCACAGGGGCAGCAACACCAACAAGCATCATTCATGTTCAAAGGCTGGGTCTGGCTGCAAACGCTGGTGAATTTGAAGTGCCGGAGATACCGGGCACGGGCAAAAATCCGCCAACCCCACTCAGTCATGTGGACTTGTATGAATATGTGTAGGATGAGTGGGGCCGGCGTGGCCGATGTCCCCACGAAGCCCAGCTCGAATCCTGGACTGGCTGGGGCCTGGCTCTACATTATATAAGCGGAGGCAACTTCTGCCAGAACCTCGCATCCTCATGCGCAGCAAGGGTGCTGATTCGGCAACGTCGTTGTCACCTTCCATCGATAAACAGTTTTGCGGAGCAACGCTTCGAAGTTTATGTAGGCTGGGTGGTTGGTTGTCACCCGCTCTACATGTTAACAAACAAGTATAGGGGTGGTGTGAGTCTGATCTCTTCCCATTAGGAGCCTCGTCAAAAGGACAATAACACTGATTGGTTTGGCGCCGTTTCTTTCAGTGCCCTGCCAAGGTGCCTTCCACCAACTCCACCTCCAACCCCTCCGGCGCCAAGCACTCCCTTTATAGCTCAGCAGCAGGGGCAAGCGGCTGTAAGCCGTTTGCTTGCGGGGGCCAGCGGCCAACAGTGCGTGGGCGGAGGGGCTCTGGTCGAGGCCGACAGCAGCATAATATAGGTGTGCCCGGTCTCCTTTCATGCGCTGGAAACCTTTTCCCCGCGGCGCCGTGGGCCTACAAAGGAGCAGCGGTCCTTTGGTGAACTTGGATCTCTAAAATCATGCTGGGGTACTCTGAGTGTCATGCTGGAAATTCCATGTTTGTTTTTAAGGGGTAGAGCTTGTATACGGTAGTATTTGTTGAGTGGTCGAGTTGAAGCAAGATTAGACTGACACTCGATATCAATATCCAACCTTTAGGGGAACGCAAAGTTTGGAGTAAGCCAACAATTAGCATCAAATTAAGTGAGGACATAAAGTTGGGCCAAGTGCACTGATCTGCGAAGCTGAACTCTTCGCGTGGACAATCAGCAGTCCCGCACATCCTGACATCCTTTTTCAATTTTTGAATCAAAAAACTTATGGTAAGACCCCAAAGAACTTCCAACACCTCACGTTCATCCCACTCGGACACGACACACCAGATCCACGGAGCCTGGAAGCGTGGACCCAGCCAAAGGCCTATAGTTCGGGCCGTGTGTTTGCCATTGGGTGTTTGTGTTTGTGTGTTTGTGAGTGTGTGGCTGAGTGTTTGTGTTTGTGGTTGCGCGTTTGGCGGCGGCGCGTTTGTGCTTGCGCTTGTGGGCGTGGTTTGTGTGCTTGTGGTTGCGTTGCAGCGTTGCTGCTGCGGTCTGGTTGTGCCCGCTGCGATCTGGCGCTTGCTGTTGAGGGCTGGCTCTGCCCACAGCGACCTGGCGCTTGCTGTTGAGGTCCGGGGCACCAGAAGGACAAAGGAAGGAAGGAAGGAAGGAAGGAAGGAAGGACTACTTGTAAAATCTAATCTAACAACCCCCACCTGCCAGGTGGGGAATATATCTAAAGATATGTGTCTTCATGTGGACGCCCAGCTCTCGCTCAACCTGCTTTCAGGTTGTGGTCGAGGTACGTGGCGTACCAGCCGGTCCACCCCGCATTTTCCATATGGCTTCATCCTAATTGAATACTACAGCACGATGAACTGAAACAGCAAATACCCAAAGATTGAAGCTGCTTGAAGATCTTGCTTGAAGAGGCAAACCTGGTTGTCGAAT